ATATCTTACTGATTACGAAACTAATGATTCGGATACATGTACTTCAAGCGACCACAAAATTCTAATTTCTCATTGGCTCTTTCCTTATGCAACAACAGGACAACAAAGACATAAAACCCATACTCAAAGAAGAGTCTTTGATTACAAAACAATGAACCGAGAAGAGTGGGAGAACTTTGCAAATAAAGTTAGCTCAAACTTACTACTACATTGTACACTGCTCACACCTACAAGCTCTGAGTCTCTGGAAACAACTTGGCACAAAATCCAAACTAGTCTAATTATAGCAGCACTTAAACATATTCCCAACAAGCATTTCACAGTCTGCAACTTCCACCATACATTTTTTGCCAAGGCTACCCAGCTCCACTATAGCCTCAAGAAGCTTAGTAATATAGTATAATAAGAACAGTAAAACGCTCAATTAAATCTGGCTCCCAAATCCCTATACACTTCAACAATACAATAACAAAGCTTAACAGAATACACCATCTTGAAATACCTTTACTTGTACTAGCAGTCCAACCTCTAGCAAATTGGATAGTTGAAGCCAACTCGGAATAGAAGAAGCTATTCCATACAAGAAACCTAGAAAACATTAGACAAACACGCCAATAAATTATGGAAGCTATCTCAAAAAGATGTACTAAACTTCAAACTAACTCTACATCAATGCTAAATAGTATTCTAAATTGGCATAAAGACCCAATTAAGTTGAACAATATCAAACTTGATCAGGAGATAATCACAGACCCCACAGATATCAAATCGCATATTTAACAGTACTTCAGTAACTGAACTGCCTTTCGCCCAATTGACCAAGACATATTCAACTCATACTGGCAAACAGAATACAACCCAAAGCCCCATATTCAGCAAGACTGGTATTCAGAAGCACTTATTGACTTTTCTCAAGAAGAAATACTTACTACCTTTAGCTAGCTACCTAATAACAAAGCCTGTAGTCCCTCAGAAATAAGCTACAAAATGTTTAAACATGCAGGGTTTAGCTTTATCAAAGCAATAACAGCTCTCTTCAACTGATATTTATTATCTCAAACAATCCCAAAACAATAGAAAGAAGGAAGAATCTATTCTATAGCCAAAAAACCAGTCTTTGATGACAACTTGGCCAACACTAGACCAATAAGCCTTTATACCAAACTTCTTACCAATTGTCTTAACAATATTTTCTTCAAAAATGAAGTCTTATCTCCCTTCAACTATGTGGCCTTACTAGGCAACTCTACTTCTATCCCAATCCATATCCTCAACAATATTATAGAAGACGCAATATGCAACTCCAACCAGCTATAGATTCTTTTACAAGACATGAGTAAGGTCTATGACTCAGTTAACTTTAGCCTATTTCAGAAATTACTACAAAGAATTGGCATGCCACAACAACTTATTAGCATCCTTACAAATCTTCTCTCAGACCGCTCCAATAGAGTTATTACTAACTTTGGCCTTACTAACTACTATGCAGTTCAGAATAGAATTGACTGCGGGGAAACCATTACTCCACTTTTCTGGCGGATCTACTATAACCCACTTATTTCAAAAATATCACTATAGCTTCCAGGATACACTATGAAAACATCATGGTGGTCTAGCCTCACTCTACCTTCTACTAAATAATTATAATGCTCAATATCTGTGCTTGCCTATATGGATAATACATTTTGAATAGCCCAATCTAAAAGCAACTTGGAAAAAATAATTGAAACAGCCTCATCATTTTACAATATGGCCAATATCCAAGTCAATCCCTTCAAATCTATTTTTATATCTAATCAAAAAGCAGCCAACATTTTATTTCTACAAACAAATCTAGCATCAATACCTTTTAACCAACCTTTTAAATTTTTGGGATGCTGGTTTACACTTAATAACAAACATACTAAACAGGTTAAACTAATTCAAGAGGAGGCTCTCAACCTAGCATATATAGCTAACACAAAAAAGATAACAGACAAGCAAATAACCTATGTCATTAATACAGTTATTATTCCAACCTTTGAATACAGAATTCACAATATCGTTGTTCTACAATCAACTTGTCTCAAAATATTAGGCAAATATCTTACCATCGCCAAGCACAAAGCCCACTTATCATGTTTAATTTCTAATAGTACGATGCTCAACTACAATATCTACAACATTCACAACATCTGGGATATACAACTCTAGCACTATACTAGTAACTTTCTACTTAGAATTAATAATAGCTCTACACTTGGTATCACTCCTCATATTAGACTCTAGCAACTCCAGAACAATCTATAGTTAACTACTAGTATACTACAACACCCCCAGCCTTCTATTGAGGGTCCCAACAGAGGCACTACTATATACAAAATAATTAGGCTACTCTAACAAGCTGAAATTAGCATAATAACCAATTCTAGTATAGCTTGGCCACAAACTATACAAGACAGCAACACACCACTAGAGCCTATACTATCTAAAAATAGTAAATACAAAGTATTTAAGCAACAACTTCACAACAAGCAAATTTTCTACCTAGAACGACTCAGCTCAGCAAATAATGAACACTTGCTTGAATAGCAACACATCTCTTCTAGACTTCGACATCTTTCTAAAGGAAAGAAACCATACTGGTTTTGTTTTTTGGAAGACACAATTATTAGCAATTCATAGCTCCGAACAGTACATTTACAATACCGCCTATCAGATACAAACCTATTTGCCTACCAACCAAATACTATTCCTAAGAAGCTAAAACCATAGATGCTTACATACCAATATAACAAGATTATTATTGGCCAAATTAGAAAAAAGTTTAAACAAACCAACACTATCTCAATCACACATTGGCAACATAATATAAATATACAACAATACCTACCTTATCCTTTACCACCTATTACATGCACCCCATGCCCTGGCTGTAACCTTAATTCCAATCATTTAACTAACTACTGTACTATTTAAGTATCTAATACAATATCTATACAATTCTTAGAAAAGAGAACAACTAACAAACAGGTTAAACTCAATGCCAACTACATTGATCTAATATACTCTATAGCAATCAAACACCCTATTACTATCCCACCACCACCTAATATCAACATTATAGACTTTTTAGCCCCAGTTTTCTTCAATACTGGCGAAGTCTGCCAAAGACTAACACAATACTTCTTTAGCAATTGTGATATACAAACATTTACTTTCTATACAGACAGTTCAGTATCTGACATAGGTACTAGTAACTATTCAATAGGAATAGGCTGGGTGCAACTACACAATGATCAAATCATTAACCACTTCTTAGCCAAAATCTCCAATTGGCCCTCCTCTTACAAAGCCAAGCTTGTCGCAATCTTATCTGCTATTTTTACAGTACCTCATAATGCCAAAGTTGATATATACACGGACTCTCAATCAATCATATCCAAATATTATAAACTTTTATATACTTTTACCAAATCCTCTAAGTTCTTTAAATTCAACTACTGGCCTATATGGCATATACTTCTTAATGCCATCAAGGCTTTTAATATCCAACTTCTTCTTCACAAAGTTCAAGCACATGCAAACAACTTATTCAACAACATAGCTGATCTCTTAGTAAAAAAGTATCAAGAACCAATAACTTATATCCTCCAATTTAATCATACCAATATACACAACCCAAATTTTATTATCCAGTGAAAAGGACACTTCATTGAAAAACCTACAAGACAATTAGTTAAAAACTCTAGCAGAGCATATACAATAGCAAGATAGTCCTTACAAAAATGCAATACCGAATGAGAAAGTCATACCCAAACAATCAACTGGAGCTCAACTTGGCTTTATCTTAATGCTAATACAAAAGCCACATCTAATATTACATCTCCTAAGCTAAACCAGATGAAAGCATTCAGAGTCAAAAACCTACTTAATGAACTGCCAACTTACTACCACTTCTATACAATTATGCCTAAGATCTTTTTGGCTAACACCTGTTTTGCATGCAATACTCTAGACTCACCTAGTCACTGGCTTATTTGCTACAACCAACAAACAATCAGCCAAATCATCCATTCCTCAATTTCAAAAATAATTACCAAACATTGTAGTGACCAAACACCAATATAGCAAAGAGCAATCATAAGTCTTATTGAATCCCACACTTCCTTCAACAACATTCTTTCTTTTAACCCACAAATACACACACTACCTACTACTATGAAAGGACTCATTTTATCTCACTTGCTTCAAACACTACAAGTAGTAAATATTCAACACAAAGAGGCAGCAGATATCATAATCCAAACATTACTACATATATTTGCAGAGACTTATGAGCAAATCTGGAAGCCATATTGTAAAAGATTTGCAAACTAGAAAAAGCAAAACAACATACAAACCCCTAACTAAGACAAACAAACTACACACAAACAAACACAAAGTCAAAGCAAAAGACCATGGAAAAGATTCACATATAGTTGCCCATATGGTCTACCAGACCAACAATATGACGATAATAACAACTGCTTCTCCGAAAAACAAGCAATACAAAAATACAATCAATGGTCAACAGCATGGATACAATTTAGTACTTCTACAAATTACATACTTACCATTAAAATCTAGATGAGTCTTGACCACTCTAGTAGGTTTAGGTCACAGATAATTAGCTTTTAGTCTAAACTCCCATTCGTGTATGTAATTTATAAATACTTGTTATTATACAAATTAGTTTTTATATAGCTTCTATGTAATTACTTATATAAATTACTCAATAAAGATATAAGCAAGGCCTCACCTTAATACCAAATAAAAAAATAAAAAAAAAGTAGTAGTATATAACATATTAAAAAAAATATTATAGTTATAGTGATAGTTTATAGTATATGTATATAAAAAAAAGATAAGCTTGTATAACTTCTACATGTAATTAATATTTAGATCAGGTTTGTGTATATATTTAAATAATATAAGACATGTATTAATATGAATATTTATAGTATATTCATATCTGTTTATTATACATTAATTGGTACTTTATCTAAACAATACTGAAAATAAGTAGTAGTATGCTCGATCCAATTCTTGCAATCTTTATCTGTAACAAGATCAAATGCTTCATCTATTTTTTTGAAAATAGTTTCCTGATCTTCAAGATAGTTTCTAGCAACTGAGTTTTTAACTTTTGAAAAACAGCCTTTAATTAGATTCAGAAATGGCAAATAAGGAGGTAAATACATGAATTTATGATTTGTATCTGCAATAATTTCTTTTACTATGTTGGGTTTATAGAAGCTAACATTATCCATTACTAAGTATTTGTTGTCTGGAATTTCTTCAAGAAATTCAAATATAAAATTTGCAAAAACTTCTGAATTTGTTGAACCTAAATTTGATTTAAACTTTACAATGCCATCTTTATTAATAGCAAAGATTATAGTAATATTTTTACCCCTATTGGTAACAACACTTCAAATTGCATGTTCACTCTTAAGAGCTTGACCTCTAGATACTAAAAGATTCATCTATGTATATCATATCACTATATATATCAATATTATTATCAAGAATTTTTTTAACATATTTTTTTCTTTTTTGAATTGTATGGTCTGTATTGCGACACTCAGATACTAATTTGATTCGTTTTAAAGTAAAACCTATATTGCTAACATGTTATAAAACTGTATGATTACATACTTATAATAAAGATACATTAATATTAGTACTTAATTAAAAAATATTACATGACATATATACATAACTCACATTCAGATTAGGAAATTGATTAACTAATTTTTGAGTTAAAGTTGCAATTGTTGAGCATGGCTCTTCATCAATCATTTCTATTAAAAAATTATAATGTTTCTTTGTTAGCATAGATTTTCTGGCTTTATCTCTTGGCATAGGAGCTATTTGATTTTTTTCATCAAAGGTTTTAATAATACTTTGTATAGTTGAAGCAGCTAAATAATGTTTAGCTGCTACTTGTCAAATTGATTTGCAACAGTTATTAACATCATTAATTATTTTTTTTCTTTGAGCAATAGTAATAGTTTGATATATAGGCTCTTTCTTTTTTTTGGTTTTTTTTTGCTTAGACATCATTGTAACTTTGATAAAACAGAAAACTTACTTTGATTTAAATTTATATAAATATATAAAAAATACACAATTTATTACTTTTTTAAATTAGTATAACAAAAGAACTATGTAAATCCTATGAATCCTACATATTATCATTGTAAAAACAATAATAATATGCAGGATTCATATAATTTATACAATTTATTTATTGTACTAATTTGGAACAATAATATTGTAAGAAGGGATAAAAGCAGAGCAGAAAAAACTACTTATTTCTTGGCTACTTGAATGTACTGAAAATGCGAATTTTAATTAGCAGGAGGTATTTTAATTAATTAAATAAGCTTGTTATTAAAATAAATAAACAATCTTAACTATATACTGGCTATCAGAGCTAAAATGATATATAGTAAATGCCAGCTAGCCATCCAAAATATTATTTTTGGTTCATCTAAAATAAAAGCAATATATTAACAAAAACAATAGTATTAAATAGCTAATAGAATTCTTTTATTTTGCTATTGTTCTTTGATCGCAATAATTATATATCAAAAATAGCATTTCAGATAGCTGGCATTTACTATATGTCTTGCTAAATATTATTATAATATTTAATAGATTCTATAATGTAATATTTTACAATAAAATTATACCAATTCTGAATTAAACTAACCCAACCTTGACTAAATATTGGGTGTCACCACAATAATGAGTAGGTTCTTTACTAATTTAAACTTAGATAATCAATATTGGATATTACAATAATAGCAAGTATGTTTAGTAACGAAAATTTACAGTAATAATTTACAATAAAAATTATAATAATTCTAATTCAAACTAATTTAACCTTATGCTAGATATCACTATAATAATGAATAAATTCTGTGATAAAATATTTATCATATATTAATTTATTGTTGCACTATTTTATTTATATGTATTAAAATATTACGGCTCTTAACAATTTATAAAAAATGACAACTTGTCTAAAAATTATAAAAGAAATTTATAAAAATCAACATCTAGTAAAAATATAGTTATATGGTATCAGCGTAGCAGAATTTCAGATAATTCTAAAAAAGGTAGTATTATTAAACCAGACATTTTTTAGGCCACGTGATGATGCCAAATTCTGGTCAAAACAAAAATTAAATTTTTGGGTTGACCAGAATTTAACATCATATAGCCTAAAAAAATGTTCGGTTTAATAATACTACCTTTTTTAGAATTATTTGGGATCCTAGCGTAGTATATGCTTTAACTTTCTCTTTAATATTATAGCTTAAACTTTGATATTTGAATACATCTACATAATTCAAAAATCTGTTTCTAATGCAGAATTTGATCAGTGTTTTAGTATTTTTCTCATTATAAATATCATCAATTAAGAGTTTTTTTAAAGACACATTGCAATGTTTGAATAAAATATATAGATATAGTTCTAACCAAATGTTATCATATAAGTCAAGATATTGCAATGTTAAAGATAATATTTTTGCAAACTACTTAACTAGTATTTCTAATTCTTCTTTTGGTATGTCAATATTACATCATAATATTAGACATTGAAGCTTTTGTAAATTATCAATAAGCTCAAACAGTTGCATAGAAAGCTCAATATTTATAATGTTGAAGTATGTTATATTTGGACAGAAGGACTTGCCTCTAGTAATAAAGGTTCTTCCAAAATCTTACCATATAATGAAAGTTGTAATTGTTGCAATAATATGCTGGTCTCTTTTAAAATTTGTACTATAGTTGGTATAGCAATCGAGCAATTAACTATCTCTAAAATGCTGAGTTTATATTCAACAGTTTTGTGTTGCAACATCTAATGTAGAGAATTTCTAACTTTTTACAACTTTTTAGTATATCAAACTCTATACTAAAAGCACAATTTTTTATTACAACCTCCCATAATAAGTTTTTTTGACTATCTAATACTAAAATGATGCTGTAGAATTCTTTAGGCTGCCTCTTACCAACTAAGCTAAATTGTCTAAGCTGCTCTTGTGGCTTAATAATATATATAAGAGCATGAAATAATAATTAGTTAGAATAATAAAATTCGTAAAGTTTCAAACTACTAATTTTTGTAGTATTTTTTGCCAAAATTCTTATTAATATAGTAATACCTTCAATGCTTTCGATGTTGTGTAGTGCACATGATCTTACAACTAGTGCTCGCCAAAATCAAATAAAAATTTGACTATCAAATACTTAATAAATATTTGACGATCATAATTTCCAAATCA